AATGATAGCTAATAAGGAAAAACGGACTGTATAAGTGACAGCAATTGATTTATTAAAGATTTTGAGTAACGTTAATTGAAGCGACTACAAAATGAAATTACGTAATGATTTTAATCAAAACTTGGCCGTACTTGAGCAATTCCATTTTCAAACCAGTTATTAACTCATCACTATTTTTCAGCATGAAAGTCAACATGGTACAAAGTGTGAAACGATTGACTAGTGCTAGTAAACACCAGAAATGATGACCGTGCAGGGATAATCCAGGTTATTGTCCAGGGATAACACCCAGCTATATCTATAAAACACACAGATTAACAAGTATAAGAGAAATTCAGTTCACAACCCAAAATGTCAACTATAGGTCTAATGGCGATAAAGGGACGATTATATTATGGCAATAATGTTAGGGTTTGCGTTTAAAATGACATCGATTAAGATTGCTTTAACTGGTTGAAAGACTTACCTGCTAAGCAAGATGACAATGCTAACACCCAACAATATCGGTCAAAAGCACAGATTAATAAGTATGAGAGAGAAATCTGTAGTATGGAAAAAGAATGTGAGAAAAAAAGATGTTCACTGGTTGACTGCCATTTCACGTGTAGAAGGCAGTGGAAGAAGAGGAAGACCAAGTAGAGAGTCGGCGCTGCAAGTTACTGTGCAAAAGAGCTTGTCGCCCTATAGGAGCAGGAATTGACTCTACAGCGGACAATATTATAAGCAAGATATCAACCGAGTAACCTCACTTGGACTGAGAAAGTATCGCACAGCCACGCTGCTTACTGCATGCTCGCCATTCACTTTTCTTGGCTCTAATTGAAATCACTAATTTACTTTGTAAACTGTGGATAGCAAGGTGAGAAAGAGAATGAAAGCAGGCAATCCCACCTTTAGGGTCAGGAAAAAGTGGAAGACAACATGGACAACAAGGTAAGACGATTTTCTGTTTGCAATATCCCTTCCAGTCATGATCGCCTTTGCTAGCAGACTATTTTATCTTCTCATGTTATTTTGACCAAGAACTTGGTGAGATTGTTTCTCTTTCAAGTCCGTCTTTCACTGCAATTTGCAATAAACATTGAACTAGCTGCATAATTGCATTGATTGCAATACTAATAATTTTGTTTTGATTTATTTTTGGGTATTGGTTAAACTGACTTTTGGGGGTTTGCTTTATGATCGACTGCAATTTCGCAAATCATTTTCTTTATCCCTATTTTTTTCTCATCCTATTTTACCTCAATCTTAATCCTGAATCTTGTACAAATGCT